TAAAAAATTAAATTTTGCTGCAAATGCAATCGAATAAAATCACAGAAGCAGTTGAGTATTATTTTTTAATAATTCAAAAAAATCGTGGTTTACATTTGTAACATTGGTGTAGACACTTGATGATTAGCATGTCATTAAGATAAGAATAAATAAGATGAACAACCGAGTTAATAGTAGATATCGTTATGGCATAGCAGTGGCGTGGACAGTATTCTTGGCCGGGGAAGCTTACGAAATATGGTGATGTGGTGAAATTAAGATTTAGCCAGTGTTTTTCAAGCACGTCGTGATTTTTTTTTGTTTTGTCTGTTTTTGCACATTTACATTGCACATTTACACTTATATCGTCACTTAAACTACAAAATAACGTAACATCACTATTTAAAAGTTTTTTTTATATCAAGTCGAGAATATATCATGCAAATGGCCGCCGCCACAGTTGATTGTCATTTGAGCCCTTTTCATGGCATTTTCTATCACTCTGGCCAGAACTTCCGCCAATAAGTGCTCATATTCTTGACGGCTATTGTCTTTAAGAGCTGCAAAAGCCTGAGGCTTGTTGACATAAACCAGCGTCTTCAAAAAGCCCCACAAAAAGAAGTATGCATAAATGGTTTAGATTAGTTATATATCGGTCATATCTGATAGCGGAAGCTGAAAATTTYATGCTACATATGTATATGTATGTAATATTATGTAGTCAATCGTAATGAATAAAAACTCAATTACGATTCCTTTGATGAWGATATGTTATCTTGWATTTTAGGCGACGATATATTCAGAATSATATTCTTTATGGGGAATAAGCACAAATGAAGGCTCCAATTTGAAATACATAGTCCATAAAACACTCGTTTGCCAAGTTGAAAACAAAAAATAAGTTTTAAGTTTTTCTAACTGAAGATTTTTCGACATCTTCAACCCTCTTTTCTCCATTCATCAGCTACGCCATTATGGTTCAAGTAATTCAGAGTGTATCTAGATTAATATAACTATATAAAAGCAATGTGATTGCGAATACGTTGCTAWTTTACATATATTAAAATGCATGCGAAGAGAAACTCTCTGTACGACTGCCTCGTAAAATCTTATATTGCCTCAAATCTACATATTTTAGTTTACATTTACGTTGATGAATAACCTTAATTAATAATAATAAAATGCTAAACAAAACAGGATTTTATTAGTTATATATATTACATTATAAAATGTTTTTACTAAAACGTTAATTGAATGGGAGCAAATTATTCCAAACAAAACTATATTCAA